ATAAAAATATTATATTGTGTGTAATTTGAAGAGAATCAGACTCTTTCAACATATAGGGGAGATAAAAAACTGTAACAAAGTCTAACGCCATATTTTTTATTTTTTTTTTTTTATTTTATTGAATGAAAGCAAAAAATGTCGGAAATAAGTAATTTTAAAATAAGTTTAGATTTGTTCGAATTGGTCACCTTTGGCACAAATTATGGCCTTCAAACGGCCAATGAAACCTTCACACGCTGCCCGAATTTTGCTCTGCGGTATTTTGGCCTATTCCCGGCGAAGCGCTTGCTTGAGGTGATCGACACTTTGGTATTTTTAAGTCCCAACCTTGCTTTCCAAAATACTCCAAACACAATGAAAATAAAGCGAGGAACCTCATGTTGTAACAATTCGTGCTGAGTGCGATGGTGCTGAGTTCTGTTGGAATGTCTAAGGTCTGCGGCCAAAATGTTTGCGTGCCCAAGGCTTTTATACACCATCCAGAATATTTTCGCGATAATATTCGGCATTTATTCTGATGCCACGGTCGATTAATACGAGCGCGGAGAGCGACAATCGGCTGTTATGGCGGCCCACACCATCACCATGACCGGAGCTTGAGTTCTGGTGGCCAACCGAAGGTGCACATTTTCAGCTGACCTCTTTGGCAAGTAAACACGATCATATTGTTTGTTTACAAACTGCTGGAGAACGAATGTTTTCTCATCGGAGAAAACCAAATTCCACTTTCGGCTTTTTAGCTCTTTTGAGTCTATTTTCTTTCTATTGCAGTGTAAGTTCTTGCACTTTCTGGAATTTCAATGGCTTTACTCCCAGCTCATTTGTCAATATTTGCCGAATGGAATATTGCGATATGTTCAGCTCACGAAACATTTTTCGGCCACTGCGACGCGGGTTTCGATCAAGTCGCTTCTTTACTTTTCGAACCACTTCTGCTGATGTTGATATTTTCTTGCGTCCACTTACTTGACATCGTCGAGCAATGGTACGAGACACAAAAGATTTATTCACATTTAAATTCTGGAGTTCTCTAACAATAGCCACTTGTGGTCTTCCAGCCAAATATAAAGAAATCACACTATTACGCTTGAATTCCACCACGAAAAACTTTTTTTCTGGAAAATTCTCACCAAAATGCTTTGTAAACAACATAATGAGCTGTTACTGGAATAATTTTAACAGCTGTCGGACGAGTGGCTTAGAAATGACATCAGTCTGAATTTGGTTGCAGTTTGTCTTCTCACCCTGTAGGTAAGATTTGGACTTTTGACGTCTTACAGGACCTATAATAGAATTTTATAACAAATAATTTTGTAGAATATATATATATATATATATATATATATATATATATATATATATATATATATATATATATATATATATATATATATATATATATATATATTTATTTATTTTTTTTTAAATGTTTTCGTGGTATTTTTTCTAGAAGATATTTTAATTCATTTTAGTGATACATTTCTTGCAGCGCATCTCCGGAAATTGGCATTTGATGTTTTCTTTCTTATCGAAAATAGTTCCATTTGCAAATAACAAAAAAAAAAATAATAATGCGATAAGATGTTCTTTTTGCTGTTGCGGAAAAGTAAATATTTGTTAATAACGTTAAAAAGCTTTGTGTGCTATTATTTTTCACATGCCCTTACAGATTGAATGAATTTCATTCCACACTTAAATGGGTGGGGGACATAAAACACCTTAAATGCAATTCAAACAAAACGTGAAACCATTGACTGACTTGTCATATGGGCGGTTGGGAATATTTGTGGAATTTTAAATATTTTTTCCACTTCGTGATGGTATGCCAATTGTCCGTTCCATCGCCCCTCGACCGCCTATGGATCTTCTGCTTGCTCCATGTAACAATGAATACTGATGACAACCCCTCATCTTCCCTCAGAATATTCAATTTTGTTTGGTTAAGTATTGCATTTAGTAGTTTCATGTGCATGTGCATATGAATTTCATTTGATTTGATTTTTTTTTTTAATTTTTATTAACTATTAAAATAAGCAGGCAGCAAAAACAAAACAACAAATATTTTTGTTCACGACACAACAAAATTAAGCCAATGGAATTTACGACACGAAATCATCATCATCATCAGACAATAGCATTAACACTCACTCATCCCGATAGCCCAGCCAGCCAGCCAATTGAGTGGCCAGCATCTGCTGGTTTCGATATTAACTTTTTAATTTAATTATAGAAAAAATTTTTCAACATATTAACAACAAAATCTTTTAATTTTTTGTCTTTCTCTTTTATTTGCGATTTAAATATGTATATTTACAGTCACTTTTAATTATTGTTAGTTATTTTTCCTTTTTGTGTTTTGTTTAAATTAATCTCAACATTGAGGGAGTGTAGTTGTTATTGTGGTTATATGGTTGCTGAGAATTGCGCCAGTCACTCGATGCGATTAGTCTAATGAATATAAATTTGAAAAGAAGGAGGAACACAACGACTGATGTCTACAATTAATTAAAGATTCTAAAGAAGCTTCAGGTAGTAGTTCTACAGTAGAAGACGCTTGAGAATAGTTGTCAACAATTAATGGATGCTTTTTATGTGAATTTTTAATTGACACTGCAGTATAGAGCGTGTAGAGCGTTACGGCCATAGGAAATTTTCCAACATTTGTCATGAAAAAAACAAAAGATTGACAAGCGAGGATAAATATGGGGGATACATAATCTTTTATCGGTCTTCAAGATATTATAAGTTTTCTATGCATAAACAACTTCTTGTAGGTCTTGTTTGTAGAGAAAACATTTTGTAAGTCTTATAGTCATAGGTGACATCTTACAGAAGACCTTCCGTGGTATTCTAGACATAATTTTCGTTATACAATTCTAATAGAATCAGTCGGTATTGCCAACAGGCAATGTTCGATTAAATAAATTTCGACTTATGTAATGATTATTCAAATTGTTGACCCTCTATGGAATTTTGTTCGAAAGGAATGGGCCAATATTTTACATTTCGCATCGTACATAAATAAATATGATATAAATATTGCGAAGTGCCAAGTTTGGACTATATTCCTTCACTTTGTATGAGATATGTGATAATTTTTGGAAAAGAAGTATTCCATTTTCATACTTCATCTAAGACAGATAAAATGATTGGTATGGGCAATATTACAAGAAAATCGAATATGTATAACTAATTTTATACGAAATCGTAAATTTCATATTCATCTTAGGTTTCTGGTTGGGAGAAAATGTAGATATAGCAAGTTGTAAAGAATCGCTGACTTGTTTCGCAAGTTATGACATATGAAAGTATTAAAAATTGCGACCTTTTGTGGGTGAGATACCAGAAGGGGTTCGCAGACATATATCATCTTCACAACAGATCTTGTGTTAGCAACAATGTTTGCATGTGTGAAATTGGAGAGTGGGATGCTTATTTCGCTTTCTTTTAGCGTTTGCTTTTTTTCAAAATCTTGAACCATATGTGGGGAGGCACCAGAATAAATGGTGCGATCTGTACCATCTTCATAACAGATCTTATTTTGATGGAAAGATTGAGATGTACCACGTCTGAATGGAATCGGATGTTAATTCCGCTTTTTATGGGTTTTCATATACATTCAAAATTTTAACCCTTTGTGGGTAGGTATCAGAAGGAGTGGACAATCTTCACTACATATCTTATGTTAGTAGAAATCGGATGGTCATTTTGCGTTTATGAGCTTCGTGGTTATTTCAAATTTTGACCCGTTGTGGGGAAGGTACTAGAAGGAGTGGTCCGTTCAATCCGTTCTTCATACCAGACCTTGTGTTAGTAGAATTATTAAAATTTGCGAAAGCTGAAGATGATGATGATGAGAGATAGCTCAAATTTTATAATAGTAATGATAATTTAAAGTTTTTAACCTATGTGGGGAGTTATCAGAAGGAGTGGTCCGATATCGACCATCTTCACACCAGATCTTGCTTAAGTAGAAGTTTTGGGATGTGTGAAATTTGAAAAGAATCGTAGGCTCATTTCGCGTTTAACGAGCTTCATGGTTATTCAAAATTTTAACCCTTTGTGGGTGAGGTACTTGATGGAGTGAGCCTATATTGTCCATTTAAGCACCTAACCTAGCACTGGCAAAAATATTGGGATGTGCCAAGTTTGCACAAAATAGAATTATCCCTTCTCTTACTATGGGGTAGATTATTTTCTTCAAAAATTTTGCCCTTTTGTGAGAGGGTGGAGGCCCATCTCCGAACTCGATCTAAGTTTGATAATAATATTACGATGCACTAAGTTTGGACCAAATCGGAAGCTCGCTTCAAGAGTTATCGTGCTCACCAGCCAGACAAACAGACGGACGGAAGGACGGACATCGCTAGATCGACTCCAAATGTTCTGAAACGGATTTGGTCCAAAGAGACCTAAGGTCTAAAACCGTTATTTCAATGAGGCACGTTTTGGGCGTATCACAATCGTCTATCGTAGTAAGTATAAAAATCGCTTATCGTAGTAAGATGTTTTACATTCCTCCAGCATCCGGACCAGAGCATGTAATACTGACATTTGTGGAGTTTTCTTTGAAACGTTGGGATCCAGCAATTTTTTTTTTTAAATTAAGTGTTCCGCACACAAAATAGTTTTTTTGCAGACGAGGGTTTGATCTTCCACACAGAGGAGCATATGGTTTTATTCATTCTTGGTTTCATAGAAGAGCAAATGGTTTCCTTATAGAAAAACCAACATTTTGTCTTCATATGAAAGATTACATGATATTTTATAGGACTTCTGGTAACTAAAAAACACTTATTTGACCTCTTTACACAATTTGTTATCTGAAAGATACTACACTTTCTGTGTGTATATTAATATACTCAAAGCATAAGAGTTATATAAATATAATATGTGTAGATTATATTACATTGTTCAGTATATCTATAAAATATAGCGTTTAAAATTTATTGAGAAAGTAACCAAAATTTAACGTTTGTTTCTTTTCTTATTATTTCTAGATATAACTTACTCAATTCGAAACGTTGATCGTTTAGTCAGTCCACAGAATGGAGAAGACAGCGAAAATATCACAATTAAAGTTTTGGAACAAGCAGAACAACAACACAAGCAAGGACAAAGATAAGGATGCTGAGGTGACTGAAACTAAAAATGGTGCTAACAAAGAGGATTCGAAGGCAGGAAAACGTAACTGGTTGCACACACCCGAAGCCCTTATAAATGGTCATGTTGTCTATCTAGTCAAGGTAAGCTCCTCCTATATAAAAACATTTTAGACTTTCAACTAATCTTATCTTAATTTTTTTTTCCCGATTCCAGTTCTTTGGCAATGTCCCGGTTGACCAGCCCAAGGGCATTGAAGTCGTCAAGGATACCATACGCAAACTGCAATTTGCCCAACAAATGAAAAAAGCCGAAACGGGTACTCAAGAGAAATTCAAGAAAGTCGAAATCACTATTAGTGTAGATGGTGTAGCGGTGCAGGAGCCCCGCACCCAAAAGATTCTACATCAATTCCCATTGCACAATATCTCGTATTGTGCCGACGAGAAGGGTGTCAAGAAATTCTTTAGTTTTATTGCAAAAACTGTGAAACCAACATCGGGAGATAACACTTCGAACGGCCGTGGCAGTAGTCCCGATGGTTCAACACAATCCTCATCGACTGCCGAGGATACACACGAGTGTTTTGTGTTCATATCGAATAAGTTGGCATCGGATATCACATTGACCATTGGTCAGGCATTTGAATTGGCATTTAGGTGAGTTTTTGTTTTTAAGCTGTGAAGAGATGAGTCCTGTAAAAACTTGGGTTCCGTTTTATAAGCTAAGAAAGTTTCATAGAATCTCAGATGGAGTTCTGATAAATATGAGAATTATTAAAAGGAAAAAACCTGGAGATTTGCATAGGGCCTTCTCAAAGAAGAGCAGTTGGTCTTCCTTATGGATTCCTTATGTGGATTCCTTCAAAGAAAAAATTATAATATTTATAGAGGATCGGGCGATATTACTTATAGAAAACCAAATGTTCTTCTTCAACAAAAAATGTATCTTCCTTTAATAATAGAAAATGGCCTCCTTCATAGAAGACTGCATTTTTGCCTGTAAATTACAATCTTCATAGATTAATCTTCATTGAACAAACGGTTTTCTCATTTAAAAATACCGGAAGGTTTTTTTTCTTATAAATGCTTAGTTGATCTTCTCATAATAGTTCACTTCGTCTTCTGTGAAGGTTTTCTCAAAAAAGCCCTGTTGACCTTCTCGTAGAAGAACAGTTGGTATTCTCATAGAAGAACATTTAGTCTTCTTATAGAAGAACAATAGGTCTCCTCATAGAAGAACAGTTGGCCTTCTTATAGAAGAACATAAAAACCCATTTGTTTTTCTCGTAGAAGAACAATAGGTCTCCTCATAGAAGAACAGTTGGGCTTCTTATAGAAGAACATAAAAACCCATTTGTTTTTCTCATAGAAGACCAGTTGGTATTCTCATAGACACCCAGTAAGTCTTCTCATACAAACTCAGTTGGTCTTCTCATACAACACCAGTTGGCCCATTTATTCCAGACCGGTTGGTATTGTCATGGAATGAGACAGGTTTCTCTTATTAGCCCAGCTGCACAGCTCTACTGGAAGACTTTCTGGTCTCTTCTTTAAAGGTTTTCAAGTCCTCCATTGGAAACACTTCTAATACTTTAAATTTCGCACAATTTTTACATTACTAATGACTCTCGTTTCTTTCAATAATTTCAGAAAATATGTCAGCTCCACCGAAAAAACAGAATTGGGCAAGGCCCAGCAACAGATTGCCGATTTGGAGAAAACTGTAAATATCTACAAGAATCGGCTGAGAGATCTCTCTGCAAAATTGGCCAAATCAGATTTGGATGCCTATTTGTTTAAACAAAATATCAAAGATATTCTGGAAGTACCAGCACAGACCATTACCACAAATGGTGATGTATCCACTCAGAATCTTACCAATGGTTCGAATGGTCTAACAAATCACGACGATAAGACCCTGTTGATTGATACCAATTCGAATTCATCAAACTCCTTGAAATCATCGCTATTCTTACCCGCTGTACCGCCACGTAACAACAACAACGCCAACACCAAGTCCATGAATAATAATGCCCAAAAAATGGAAGAGCTATTATTGAATTCCGATTCGGATAGTGATTTTGATCCACGTGCAGAGGAGTCAACAGATGGCAATAGCACTGGTAGTGGTAAAAATATAAGCAATGATTTGTTTGGCTTCGAGCCATCCAATTCGTTTGGCCAACAATTGTTCTATAACAACAATGATAATAAATTCCATAATAACAATAACAACAACAACAATACCAGCATTATTAGTAATAACACATTCAGTGAATTGACCATAACACCACCATTGTGTAAGTAGTTAAAAATCGGATACCACCAAGGAATTAATTTTCAAATTTAATTTTGTTCCTTATTTTCAGTGGCTCCACCACCCAAAGTATCGGCCTCACGTCGCAGTACCTCGGTAACCAACAGCAACAATAGCACTTCACCAAATGCCATTAACAATTTATTGACCAATGGCAACATTACAACCAACAATAACAATCTTGCCGATCTTTTTGGTTCGGATCCCTTTGATACATCCAACACTGACACCCACCATCAAAGTATTTTCCCCCAGAAACTGAGTAAAATCTCTGTAGATGATTTCACTTTGGAAAGTTTGGATCCCCTAAGGAAATGATTTGTTGCTTCATGGAGAAACAAAATGAGAGCATGGTAGCCAGTTTGTTTTTTTGTTTGTAAAGTTAATCTACATTCAGGGAGAGATCGAACGATCGAACGATCCTCCCACAATATTGAGATGTGTAATGTTGTCAAATATATTCTAAACTATATAAATTGTATAATGAATAGCTTACTCCCACAGCGTCCCTATGATTTCCTAACCCCCAACCCCCACAATATCTCTTCTCTCATTTATCTCCTCCTCTCTAAATAATGTTTTGTTAATTTAAGTTACAACAAATGGAACTTTATTCGTATAATGTTAGTTATGTATTTATGTTGAATGTATGTGTGATTGGATACAAGTGATTATGAACCCTTACTCCGCACCACCTAAAACAGGAAAGAGAAATTCGTTTTGATCGGCCTTCTATTATAACCCCCCAGTATTTTAGAAGAACAAAAAATATAAGTGTGGAATGTTATCGAAAATCAAATTTAGCCCAATTTGAATATTGTATTTGTATTTTGTATAAAATAAATAATATAATTATAATAATATTAATCGTTTATTTGATAAATAAGAATAAATTTATAAAAAAATAAATATTCTTGACTCTGTATTTTTATACCCTACAACACTATGTGTTGGGGGTATTATAAGTTTGATTGGGCCAGAATTTATGTAACACATCGAAATATTGGTTTCCCATATAGGAAAGTATATTTAGATCTTCATAGCTCGCCGAGCTGAGTCGATCTAGCTATGTATGTCCGTCCGTCCGTCTGTTCGTCTGTCCATGTTAATTTGTAATCACGCTACAGGTCGCAATTATGGCCCGATCCTTACGAAATTTTGCACGAAGGTGGGGTTAGGGTCAGAATAGAAGCCTATTTCTTTTGGAGATGATCGCCAAATGTTTAGGGGTTGAAATAGACCAAATACTGAAAAATGTCGGATTTTGCTGTAGCTATATAGGTCGCAATTATAGACCAATCGACGCGGAATTTCGCATGTAGCTAGAGTTTAAGGCGGGGAAGAAGCCTACCAATATGGGTGGCCATCGGATAATATTTAGCGGGTAAAATAGACCATATCTTTTGTGTTGAAAAAATTAAGCCGTGAATTTTTTAAATCCCGGCGAAATCACAAAGTCATGACAAGTTTACTTCTGACCTTTACATTGATGTTAACATCCATGAAATCGGATATATAGCAAAATATGTGCGATATATATGTCTATCAAGGAAGATATGCTTGAAAGATCTCTTATATGTCGAGAACGGCTGAACTGATTTCGGCAGTTCTCATTAATTCGGAATGGCCTCTTGGCAGGAAAGAAAAAACGTCTAAAAAATCGCATAAAAATATCTCTTTATAGATAAAAAAAATATTGGTTTTGTAACATTTTCTCATATTTTTTCAATTTTGTCATATTTTTGGCATATTTTCATTTTGAATTAAACATTTGGTAATATTTCTACAGCTTACAAAACTAAGTAGTTAGGATATCAGGATATCATATACAGATCGCATTTATGGCCCGATCCTTACGAAATTTTGCTTGGGGATAAGATGAGGGAGGGTCAGAATAAATGCCTACTCTATTTGGAGATGATCGCTATATATTTATCGCCCGATCCTCACGCACATTTGAATGGGGGTTACCGCACATTGCAAAAGCCAAGCAGTTTCGGATGGCCATCCAAAAATATTCAATGTGTGAAATAGTTTGCCAACTTTTGTAGACAAAAAAACGAAAATGTCCTTTCCAGTGACCTTTTGGAGAATTCACAAATACAGGAAAGACGCACTTCTGACTATTTCGTTAACGCTGACTTCGTTGAAGAATATAGTCAAATGTCTGTATCTCATATAGATGCGTTTCAGTCAAAAACCAATAATAAATGCTAATCTTTTGCCACTTCTGAGAGATTATAGGTCTTAGGAAAATATTGGTTCCAGATCTAGGAAGACCATTTACGTGCAACATCTACCAATAAATTGGAAATGAGCAAATTCGTTTAAGTTGCTATTATTCGAAAATTAGAGAACAAAACATGATGGTTTTCATTTATTATTTGTCACAATATTTTGTGGAGTTCTTTCGAGTATCTCGCCTATATAAACTGTATGATTTATTATAGTGTTGTAGGGTATTCAACGGTCGGCCCCGCTCGACTGTAGCCTTTGCTTACTTGTTATTAAAAAAAAATTGCAAGTTCAGATTGAATTCAATTTATATTTTTGAGTGCTATTCTATTTTATTTGCCCTTTAGTTAAGGCCATGTTTATACCCTACACCACATAGTGGTAAGGGTATTATGTCTTTGTGCATTTGTTTGTAACACGGAGAAGAAAGCGAGATAGACCCATAGTTACTTTTGAGGATCTCCATAGAATTACTTTCTGAGTTGATTTATGCATGTCAGTCCGTCCGTCCGTCCATCTGTCCATGTTTTCTTGTGAACAAAATGCAGGTCGCATTTATTATCCGATTGAGATGAAATTTTGCACAAATCATTTGTTAGGCCCAAGGACGAACCCTATTGAAATTGGAGATAGTCGGTAAAAATTTAAATATATCTCCCATATATATCTTCGTTCGATTTGCCTTTTATAGTGCACCAAACGTATAATATCAATTTTGCACATACAACCAAATTAGGCCTGAAAATAAATATGCCAAATTTGATCGAAATCGGTTCAGATATAGCTATATGTCCCATATATCTTGTTCATCCCATTTGTTATTTTTGTCCTCCGCAGCCGTAATATGCACTCCGTTACAACGATATTCGGGGAAATATATCAAATGCAGCTCAGAAATATCTTTACTAAATTTTATCGAAATCGGTTCAGATTTGGATATAGCTCCCATATATAACTTCGTCCGATTTACATTTTATTGTGCACCAAACGTCTAATATTTGCCCAAATGGGATGAAATTTGGCACATACGATCGAATTAAGTCTAGAGTCTATGCCAAATTTGGTGAAGATCGGTTCAGATATAGTTATAGCTCCCATATACATTGTTCATCCGATTTGTTATATTTGTTGCCCACTGCCGTAATATGCACTTCGTAAATACGATATTCAGGGAAACATATCAAATACAGCTCAGAAATATTTTTGCCAAATTTTATCGAGATCGGTTCAGATTTGGATATAGCTCCCATATATATCTTTATCTGATTTCAAATTAATTTTGCACCAAATGGGCAATACAAGTCCGAATTTAAAAGATACAAATGCTTCGGCATATTTAGTCCTTTGAATTTTAAATTACTATTATAATCATATGTGTATGATTTAATTATCTAATAAAAACTTTTAATTGTTATGTGGAGCTCTACTAAATTAGCAAAGTGGTGTTGGATATCATAAAGTCGCCCCCCGACTTTAGGACTTTGTTTTTTTTGGGCTGCTCTCTTGGTAATCTATTATTTTTTATACCCTCCACTATTCTATATAACTCTTCGAAATACTTATGTTAGACACAACGAAGTATTTATATTCTTGATCAGCATAAAATTCTAAGTCGATTTAGCGGTGTCCGTCTGTCTATCCTAATCACGCTATTTTTCGAACGAATTGATATAGGCTACAATTTCGCACACATGTGTATGTTGCCAATGAAGTTAATTTCGTAAATGGATCATGTCGGTCTACGTATTCGATTTGCCCCCATATAACGGTACCTCCCGATATTCGGTATGTTGATAATTTTACCGACATTATAGACCGGAATGGTTTCATATTTCGTATTTAAAGTTCGTAATGGATACTTCAAATTGTCTACAAATGTCCATGTCCATCTTCATATACCCCACATATAACGGTACCTCCCTTTGTTCGGTATTTTGATGATATTTGATTTCAAACTAAGAAAGATTTTTAGATTTTTACTCATGAAGATAAAAAATACGTTAAGACTAAACACTTATAACATAGTAAAGGCCATTTAAGTGCTAAATCCAGTTAAATCACCAAGATTTGCCAAAGAAAATTAAATTCACTCTTTATAACGATTTGTTCAAAATCAAGATGCAACACTGTTTTATCCCAGAGAAAGTAAATATGGAAACGGTGGTCACACGTGGGAAAGAGTCACTATTAAAATTAGAGGAATTCTATAACTAGAAGGAATTCCCGTGTATATGCAAAACTAGCAGACGAAATCTCTTCGTCAGGTTATTTATTCCCTCCCGAAATATAAATAACAAGTTGCACAACTAAAGATGCTTATCCTGAAACATTCCTCAAAAACTCATGCTGTTCATCGTCGGATATCCATCTCATTGCATTTCCTAAAATTTATAAATAGGTCTTGCTCTGTTCCAGAACTGCAAGAATGTAAAAAATGTTTCTTCGACAACCGATTTTTCCTTTATAAAATCGAAAATTGCAAAGCTAGTAGATTATTGTATGATCTGGAACAGATAATATACCTATATTCATATGCGAATAAGATTGCATATAAACAAGTTAAAATTAATTAAAACGATTATCTGTCACAACCTGCGAAACAATTCAACGATTCTTTACAACTTGCTATATCTGAATAGTTCTCTCATCCGAAAACCCAAGAGAATATAGAATTAAAGATTTCGCATAAACTTGGATATAAATGTTCGGTTCTTTTGTAATACTGCGCATACCAATATTTTAATATGTATTAGATGAAACATGAAAATGGAATACTTCGGTCGACTATATCTGGTACCTCACGCACATTTTAACATTTTCTAAAAATGAGCACATATCTCATGTAAAGTGAAGGAAGTTACCAATATAGCCCAAACCTGGAACGTCGCAATATTTATATCATTTTTATTTAGATTCGATACGAAATGGCCAATAATGGCACATTCCTCACTCGTGGGGTTAAACATTTGAATAATCATAACAGAAGTCAAAATATTTTTAAATAATCGTACATTGGCTGAGGGTATATATCTGTCGGCAAATGTTACCATGCCATGAAGCTAAGCTTGACATGGTTTGACTGTATATATGTCTCCGCCTAAGTTTGGAAACCCTTGCTTGAGAAAACAAACCAAACTATGTTAAGTTTGCCTCTAGTCATTAACTCGAATATTATTATTCGCCAGTTCAACAATAAATTTCCAATTAAGCAAATGTGAACGATCAATATGAGGCAAGTGCTCATCATCCTTAGATAGGAACATTTGATTGAGTCATATGTTCGAATCACACGACTGCATCGCAACATTTACATATGTCGCACAACGTAGTACACATGTAAATGAGCAAAATTTCAAGGCAGCAAAGTGTTTTCAAAATTCTCTTAAGAATATCCTTTTTCATTATTTTGTCTACCTATGATTAAAGGATAAACAGAATGTGGCGCTCAATCACAATGAGATTACTAAAAATCGATTGTTCCTGTCCCACATTTTCATATAGCTTCCAACGTACGGCATATACAAATTGACCTTTGACGAATGTTTTCATGCTACACGAACATATGAGCTATTTTGGTCGTTCGTTTAAATTAAAATTGTGACATGTCACACTCAAAGTAATATGGGTCTCAAACTCTATCGACATATATAAAAATAAGCAAATGTACCAGTGAC